CTTTTTTCATGACAGCAGCAACAGCACCTACCTTTTGTATAATAGCCTAGTGGTTAAAGCTCTCACCCAGGAAATAGATTACCTGGTCCTTGTGAGACTGGGAGGGTTCAAACCCATCTCCTACCTACAGGAGAATTTCCTAAACGCCAGGCTATAGAGCATTCTGCTGCTAAAGCTGAGCCACAGTGCAGCCAGGAACACTACAGTGATGGGGCCAGAAAGAGAGCAGGCAAGAAGGACCCTATCAGGGTAGCCTAGTGGTTAGGACATTCAGCTGAGAGATCTGTTCCAGCTCAGCAGGAGTATTTCTATTTTATCCACTGAATATCTAATGTAGAAAATCATAAGCCATCCTGGGAGCAGACACTAAGAACCTACACTCTACAATTGCAAGGGAATTTCTAGGGTGACTTGGAGTAGGGGAGGCCAGAGGGCACTCTGTGGGCTGTCCACTAGGCCTGTGCGAAGCAGCTAGTGTTCGCTTCAGATTTGGATTCGGCCAATTTGGGGGATAGCGATTCAATTCGGTGATTTGAATCACTGTCCCAATTCGATTCGGCTGAATCTGATTTGGAGATTCACCTGGTGCTGAATCTCTGAATCATGCAGGCCCACCCCCCACCCACTCTTCCAACCCTGGCAATGGCTGCCCCCCCTGCCCCAGCTCCCGGCACTTTTTTAAAAAAAAGCCCTGACTCACTGGGTGCCGCCGGGTGGGGAGGTGCTTCCTGCTGCCCCCCACTGCCCCACGCAGCATGGGGGGCGCTCTGCAGGAGCCTCCTGACCACCCCCCCACCACTTTCCCAACCTCCCCCATGGATGCCCCGCCTGCCATGGCCCTTTAAGAAAAAAACTCCAAAAAAACCCCAGACTCTCTGGTTCCTGCCTGGCAAGGGGCAATCCCTGCTGCCCAGTGCCATGTGGGGGGGCTCTTCTATGAGCTCCCCAAAGCCCTGAGGCTGCTGCAGGAGCTGGTGAGTCCCGGGGGTTTTTTCTTCTTTCTTAAAGAGCCGGAGCTGGGGCAGGC